TACACTGTAGGAAAACCTGGACTCTACAACTGTAGAGATTCTACAGAGATATCAACTTCAGGGCCATCGTTGTCAACCATTTGATTGAGCACTTCATCTCTTTTTTTGTAAAAGAAATTCTCAAAGACTTAATTTATGTGCGAGTTCATGTAAACTGGCAGTAAAATGTACTGTCACGAAAGCCAGGCGCCATCTTAAAGTCTTGCCCAGGGCGCTGGATTGATCAGGGCCGGCCCTGTCGTCAAACACCACAGTTATTTCATATTTCAGCCTAAAACCAGCCACAGGCTCCACGGTGACTCTGTGTCTCTGAAACTCGTCCACGTCCAACTTCGTTTTATCAGAACTATCATCAGCGGGGGTGAGAAATTCAAATCCTAGGTGTTTCTAGTAAATCTCTAATCTCTAATTGTGTGACGTATTAGTTTTAATTATGAACACATGGCCACAACATGTGTGATGAACTTTACACCTCGGCCTGTTTTCTGTACGTGAGACAAAGCTCGGGATGGGATTTAATAAACTCAACTCGCCAACAGTCACGTCAGACGTTCTGAGAGTGACAAACTACAGGAACCGAACTTTCTGATGTGTGGATGAATCTGGGACTTCTTTGATGCTGGGAGTGTGAGTGTGAGAGTGTGTGAGTGTGTAATCGGGAGAGAGAGGAGGGGGAGAGGAAGGGAGGGGAGGGGGGTGAACCACAGATACAATACTGGACGTTAATTCATTAATAGAACTTAGACAGAGAGGTTTTAACTGTTAAAAACTGCCAACAGTGTTTTGGTGAGTTGTCCTAACGTCCCAGTGTCAGTCGGAGCTCCTCTGTAGTCTAGAGTCGGAGGAAAGGATAAAGACGCAGGAATTTTTAAAGCATTTACAGTAAAGTCATTTCTCAAATCAAAATGCTCTTATTTGAGATTCGTCACTGGTCGATCTGGTTTTTACTGTGTCGTGATTTTGCTCGTTTGTTTTGTTTTTAAAATTGACGTTTGAATGAATTTGCCGTGATGACTGTGACACGTCGACACATCGACATTTAAAGTACACAGTAAATAAATCTTGTTTATGTCTGGACAAGTGTATTATATGTATTATTAGATCATATATTCTTTAAATGACGAAATATCGTAATTATTATCCGGAACATAATATTTTTAAAAAGTAACTCGATTTATCGCAAACTTTTTAAAAGACTATAAATTACATTACCGCGAAAATTAGATTCAAGACAGAGATAATTATCGTTGGATTTTTATTGATGACGTTCTTTAAATAGTAACTTCACTAACTAAAATATTTTTATCCAATCGTTGTATTTTACAGCATTAAATTAGGTCAAAATCGCAAAGAAAGCTACGAAATAATCGATATAATTTCAATAATTATATTTAGTTATTAAAAATAATATTTTATATTTAATATTTATCTTTGTGCTGCTCATTTCGAAATGCGATGTGCTACAAACACGGCACATGTAAAAAAAATTACATACAGTTACAGTACGAATTCACAAAAAATGTCGAGGAAACAGTTCAATGTAAGGAGAAAAAAAACGAATTACTGTTACAATAAAAACTAAAAAGTCTGCCTTATAGATATATATATATTTACAACATAGACGATTATAATAATTATTATTACTCATTTTTCAGGCACGAAAATGGTAAAAAAAAAAATATCCTTGAAAGATATAACAGGAACACAGGACCAAGTTAAAAAATACTTAAAACTATGTGTTAGAGGTCAAAACAAAGTATGACAAACGTTTTTCACAGGGATTTGAAAACTGAAAACTGCTGAGAACTTTTCTACTACTACAGTATTTATTTTCCCTCTTCCATTGATATTATTTACTCGTGTGTTTTTCAGTGTATTATTGATGCATGTCCTGGAGGACAACGAATGTATTTTATGTTTTATCTGTCTTAAACGTGCTTTAACATTTTTAAATTAATTATTTTTAATTTTATTAGTTTTATTAGTTTGTTAGTTTATTAGTAAATTCCCACAAGCACTTCTACAGAAGCAGTAGTTCCGAGTACTTCTGAGAGTACAGTATGTGAGCAGTAATCCCACAGGTAGAACTGGGAGCAGCTCTTATAATCCTCAACTCTCTCCGTTATTCTTCAGGGACACGATTTATAAAAAAACACAGAGCAGGGGAATAAGCTAATATGACAGAAGTGCTTTGACCTCCGGGGGAGTGAATGGGGCAAAAGAGGAGGGGGCGGGGGGCCGGGGGGTGCACTCCTCATGGACATCAGCTGAATGGAACCTGCTACATTCACACGCGATCCTCTCCCTCTGGCTCCGAACTCTGTGTCCTAACAACTCACACTGAAAACTGACCTGTTTTGAAGGCTTTAGGTCACATGACGTGGACCTGGAAGACGGAAGGAAGGAGGGAGGGAGAGACGATCGAGGGAAATAAGAAGTATCTTTAAACACTATGTCAAGTCAGGGTAAATAAGATACACTTTTAAATCTGTTTTTTATCTTTGAATTTAATTTCTGCACACTGTAAACAGGAAGTAAATGAAATAAAACGCTGGTTAATTGACTCTAGTAAACTAACTAGCAGTAGTACTGCAGTGACTCCACCACTAATCTACATTTTTATGTCGTTGACTGATTTTGTTTTGATTAAAAAAAAACACTAGGTGGCAGTAATTCAAACAGGTTTCGGACCGCCGTTCAAACTAAAAAAATAAAACCATCAAAAAACAAAATGTGGGCCGGGGGCCTTGATCAGCTCACACACGTGGTACAAATGAAACGGACTGACTTTTGAAAATTACAAGTCTCTAAATCTTTCTGTTTCCAATTGGAATTTAAATATGAATTGTATGTTTGCACATTATTTTTACATTTTTAAATTGATAATTTATATGATTTTTCATGTCTGCCTGGTTAAATGTATCAATTGTTTTAATGAATGTCCTACGGTATGAAGACCAGATTTAATAAATACCAATGCACTTAAACTGTTTTCATGAATGTAACATTCCAGCTAATGCTGCCTTAATTTAAACCTTTTTTTCTGCAGGTTGAGGCATGGTTCAACACTTTAGGATGTAGCGTTCCACTAATCGATCTAATGTTCCACAAGCCTTGATATTTTAGTCCATCAGAAGTGCTTGGAGCGCTCTCCCCCTGGAATAAAACACATTTCCTGCTCTGGTCTAATTCACCTCTTGGCAGCTGCACTTTTCTCATCGTTGACTTTAAACAAACCAAGGAAAAAAATAAAATCATTGCAACACAGACGGTTTATCTCATAGATTTACCTTAAATGCTTAATAAAATAAAGTTAATTGTAGAAAAAACTAAATTTTAACCTTCATAATCAAAAGAGAAAATGTTCCTTTCCGTTCTCAGATGTGAGGCCCAGTGTGTTGAAAACATCCAGCTTTTCCTTCCTTTGTCCTAAACTGACAGGTTGGCTCTAACAGGGGTTAATTTGCCCTTCAGGGGTTAAACAAACTGGCACTGATAGTTTATTCTGGTCAAGGATTTAATGTGTTTTCTTTGAACGCTGTGAGGACAAAACTGACAAAACTGAAAATAACAAAAACTAAAGAAACAGCCAGGTTGGGTTTAATTCAATCCTTTTTTAAGGCAGAAGAGCAAGTTTTTTTTTCTTTTCTTTTTTTTGCATCTAGCTCCCAGACTGCCTTTGCTTTGTCCCATGTTGAAGTGCACTCTGGGTGCAGTGGTGTGAGGGCTAATGGGGATTAGAGCAGGAGAGGCATGTGTCACTTTGGATGGTTGTAATCTGGGGTTTTATTTGACGTATCTGAACAGGTAGGAGACACAGATTAGGCAGCGGTTCTGATAAAGTGACTGGTTTTCACACAGGGTCCAAAACTGTACCTTTCTCCATGAACTGGCCGAGAGCAGGTTATAATCTCATCTGTCGTTTGTAAAGGTTTAGGATTTGGATTGAGGAGAATTAAACAAAGTCATGGGAGTAGAGCGGCCGTGCAGAAGGAGACAGAGAGCAGAGCCTCACAGTCATCAGAAGCCACAGACTCCATGTAGAATAAAGGCTTCTTCTGGTTGACTGACTCTGTTAAGTCCGACCTTATATCTGGCCCTCACTGACCTCGTATGTACTGTGGCATTCTGGGCCACGGCTTTGACCCCAGCAGCTCCAATCACCACAGAGGCCCATTATAGTTACTGAAGTAATCCTGTGGACAATTTCAGCCTGGAAAGACTAACTATAGTCAAAGACTGAGAACATGACAAAGCTATAGCTCCAATGTACACACAGTACATCAGTACACTAAAGTATACTATGTTACTAATAGGAAATAACAAAATCACAAATGCTTCATTTATCCCTGGGGAGGAATTGTTGGTCAATTTGAGTATGAGAAGTGTACTATGACAATTGATTCAATTCAAGTAAACCAAAAAAGAAATATAACAATTCTTCCGTTCATAACTGAGTAGTAAAGATGTAAAATGTGAAACTTTTGAGAACAGAGAAACATCCTGTAGTATATTTAGTCATTTTAGATTTATAGAGATTTCAATTGTCCTAAATCTTACATCACAAACAACAATTATATATTTATTGTTCCACTCATTTTAATCTCTTTTTCTGCTGTTGATTGCCACCCTAAAATAAAGTTTATTATTCTATGTCTTGTGTAGTTTCTATTAAAAATGCAGAACAAATTATTAAAACTACAAATTCAGCAAAATATGAATGCATTTAAAGAAATGTTAAGGCAACGTACTTAGCTCTTGACTATTTAAAGTTATATATATATATATATACACATACATATATTCATATATGTATATATATATAAATATATTCATATATGTATATACTGTATATACATATATGTGACTCAATTACGTAAATGAAACTATAATTGGAGAATTTAAGAGTTTGTATTCATTTTAATCTATATATTTTTTTGCAATAATATATTTTTCAATGTTCAAAAAACGTTTTTTTTAAATTTAGCCCATGGAAAAAATATAATACGCATAATACGCAAATAGAACCAGGCTGTAAGGTCAGACGTAACCAATAGGCGGTACTGTGCCGTTGTCCATGAACGTGTCTCCATCCCTCAGGACATCAGTGTGTCTCTGCTCTTTAGCTCCACGTCTGACCTCAATGCTCACTGTCTGCGCTGCTTCCACAGTGTGTCTGTGTCTGTCCACCGCCATCCACTTCTAGGATCTCATCTGTTCACCTGCAGTTACTTCTACTGTTTGGGACCGTCCTGTGTTCTGTTCTGTTCTGTTCTTCCTACTTTTCCCTGCCTCACGGCTCCCTTAAATCTGGTTCTTCGCTGACTGCGTCGCGGACCAACAGGGAGAAAGTCCGGATCGTAAACAAGATATTTTCAAGGGAATAGGTTTGTGATTTTATTCCTGGACGGATTCCAGGAAAGAAAAACAAAAACAAAACACACACGCACAAAATGCGGGACTGTAAAGGAGCCATGTCTAAATCTTCGTCCTTCCTTATTGAGAATTTGTTGGGATCTACGGACCGAGGAGCCGCGGCCGAGGTTAGACCAGGATGTAAAGACCAGGGTTCGGGTGTTTGCGGGAGTTGGACCCACAGCAGTGATTTGAATTGGAGAACCACAGTGCGCTGCTGCCTCAGAAGTAAGTGTCCCGTTTTTATTCACATCTGTTTGTGTGCTGGGAAGAGACGAGGGAGACTGACAGTAATCTGTCCAATAATTCGGTGTGTGTCAGAAAACGTCGTCGCAAAGGTGAGCAGTTGAACAGCCGCAGCAACTTAGACCGATCCAACTATCGTTGTACACAACAAAAACTATGAAATCATGTGTAGAAGACGAACAGCTACGACCCCAGCATCAGCAGCAGCAGAGTTTATTCTGTATGATATCATTCTTATGATTCCACACAGCTGTAATCTGACAACATGACTTAATCCCACAGAACAATATAATACTAGTATTCTTACAATTCAAGAAAACGGGAAACGTTCAGCTTTTCTGTGCGATGGCACAAATGTACAGCTAATATCAATAGCTAAAAAATAATTTCATGGCGGCACGTTTTTGTATTTTGGGAAATAAAAATCAAATTCTTCCTCTTACTAACACGCCACATTTATCAGGTTTGGATTAAAGTGGAAGCTAATTCAAACCAGTGACAAAGCCGTACATTCTGAGGCAATAGTTTGTTTTTTTTAAAGTCCTTATTGGACACT